TGTGGGGTCCTGCCACAACACAATTTAACAGTGACCTTCCCAGGGGAAGGGACAATTTCACACTGCAGCTTGCCAAAACCTGCCTGAGCCTATTGGCTGTTCCCCCCAGAGGTAGTTTCCTCTAAGTCTTAGTTTTCTCTAAGGTCTCCAGGGGAGCTCCCCCCGCATCATTAAACAAGTCTGACCCTGCAGCTGTTTGAGTTTTCACACCCTGGGATGCTGAGGTCCTTACACCAAAGGTGGGATATTGCCTGTGTGTAAAGACAGAAAAGCTCATTTTCTGTTCTGAGTTGGCAGGTGTAGAACAGCCCTGCTGCTTATTTATTCCCTCTAAGGCACATAGGTTCAATTCTTATCCTTCAGGCTACATATAAAATCTTAAACATTATCCTTTGATTTTTAGAGTCTTTTTTTTTTTTTTTTTGGTTCTAGAGATTAAACCCAGGGTCTTCACGCTCAACCCTTTTATTGGAGACAGGATCTTGCTAACTTGCTCAGACAGGACTTGCCATCCTCCTGTCTCAGCCTCCTAGAATGCTGGGATTACAGGTGTGCAGCACTGTTCCTGGTTTGTCTTCATTTCAAGGTGTGTGAGCCCAGATTGTGTAGATGACAAGTGAACAGGGTGCCTTATGTATCAGATATATCAGATATTACAAGTGCTGGGTGACTTGGAGAGTCAAACACAGCATAAACAGTATTTCAACCTACTACAGGTAAGCATGCCTATAAACACAGGTGTTTATTAAGCAGACACACAAGTTTTCCTGTTATTAAACTTGGGCTTGTGTTATTTTGTAAAATAATTTAATAAGTTAAAATATTAAAAATAAAGGAAGTTTGTTTTATTTGTGACCCAAGAAAATTCCTGTTTACTCAGTACTGCCCAGGCAAGCCAAAAGTTTGTACATCCACATCCCAAAAGAAATCTGGGAAAATTTGGTGCAGGTAAGAACAGACATGTAGCAAAATTTCAGAAACTAGTTGGTGGTGTAGACATATTTTTCAAGCTTGATTTGCTTGTCAAATAGCAAGTGCTCTGAAGGATCTATTTTAAGCAAAGAAAAAGCTTTCTAAAACATCTTTTGTGCAAGGAACTAGAGAAAGCACACAAATGGCCAGGGTGTAGCGCCACTGTCATCAGGTAGGGGACACATCCGAGTAATCACAGCCCAGGTATAAAAGGGGGCAACAAGCAGCCCCTGTCAGGTAGCCCTCCTATTCAGAAATGAGCTTTCACGGTGTCCACAGAGTCATCTCTCCACTTTCTTTCTTTTAGAAACTACTTTTGGGACTACCTTCCCGCATCCCCACTGTTGTCTAATATTTTTTCTCCTCTTTCTTCCTTTCAGAGGGAAACACGATGCATTTGACCAAGTACTGCACAGGTCATTCTGTTCCAGCTAAAGAGAAAGGAGTGCAGGGCAGAGAGCACAATCTCTGCCTTATCAGCACAGTACTGTAAGAAAATGCCAGGTGTGGCCAGGTGTTTCACCCCGCCTCCTCCTCCATGATGCAATCATGACTTCGGGAATCTCCTGAGGTTCTAGGTAGGAAAATGGGTTTCGGAAGTTTAGGCAGTTTAATCTGGATTTCTGAGAGGAAGCCTTGCCAAGATGTAGTCCTTGTCTTAGTCAGAACCTCTGGCTTTATGTGCGTAAAGGGATTTCTAGTCAAGGCCATGGATGGTCCTAGTCCCCTTTGAGAAACCAGTAGAAAGTACGAGCTGCTTCCCAGAAGAATGTGGGCATACACAACAGGGCCGAAAAGTGCCTATTCCCATGGAGGAGTGAACCATCGGCACCTAGACTGTCTCCAGGCTGCTAGGCTGACCGGGGAATACCACACACACCCTTGAGTGCTGCGTTCAGCCAGAGTCAGCACGGGTCGACACAGTTCATCTGGAGGACAGGCTGGACTCCCTCAGATGCTGTCGCTCTCTCCCGTTCTGCGCGCCTCAGGACGCTCTCCTTTCCCGCAGAGCTGTCACAAAGCACAGCACTTGGCACCCTCGCTCTCCACTGCCCAGGAGCACTGACTTCACAAAGTTCTGGTGCCCATTTCTCCGGGATCCCTGCCAGCTGGGTATACAGCTCCGGCCAGGAGGGCGCCCGGTGGCCCCGAGAGCCAGGGAAACGTGGGGAACTTGCATTCAGTTGCAGACCTGGGCCGCCCACAGAGGCGAGCGGTCCTTGGCGGGCTGGGTTCCCGCGCGGTGGGTACCTGGGGACACTAAGAGGGTGTCAGGCCGGGGGTGCCCACCTCTCCCGAGGCCGGGCAGTGCCCTCCCTCCTGCCTCCCGGCCGGCAGCGGCGAGAGCAGGCGCAGCGCCCCTACCGCCCGCTTTTCCGCTTCCATCTCCTCCTCCTCCTTCCCCCAGCCACCCGCTCAGTCACAACCGGTTCAGACTGGCCAGGGTGCCCCGCAAAGAAGAGAGACTTGGTTCCTTAACAAAGAAAAGTAAGAGAAAATAGGAAAAGCATTTTACCTTGAGTTGCTAAAAGGGACACAGGTCTGACAAAGATCAGACTGGTCCCTAAACAAAGAAAAAGGCAAAAGTTTTTAAGGGTTTCCTGAGGTAGGCCAGATATTACCTCAGCTGAGTTTCCAAGCTCAGGAGCAGTCCTTAAGGCTGAAGCCACTTCCATTTCCC